AATTCATAGAAAAATACTCCCTTCCACGTGTATTTTCAAAAAGTTTGGATTCTTTTTCGAAATTCTTGCTCGACAAAATATTGTGAGATATACACTATCAAGTACCATTAGAGGAATTCATGCATGAAAAAGTAACTCCCATCCATGTGTATTATGAGAAGTTATGATTTTTTTTTCGAAATTCCGAAAGTAGGATCGAAATAGAAAGCATAAAAGCAGGAGCGACTTCGTTCTATTCCGACATTTCTGACGACTAGGTCTGTCGGAGACGTTGTCGAGACTTGCTACGGAGTGCATCTATCACCTGTTGAGCCTCCTGTGTGATGTGCGTTTGCTCTACATCCAGGTAGATTTACGTCTCTCCTGCATCCAAGTGATGTAGGGTGCTTCCTTCCACGAGCTGCGCGTCCTGGTCATAGTCCTCTCATCGTCCTCTCTTGAGATGAACCAGTGCATATCTGTTCATTCCGAATTCCATTCCAATTGACTGCGTGTACTCCTGTACCACCCTGAGGGATTGGTCCATACCCCTCTACCAGAGGCATAAAGTTCATCCACATAGAATAAGCAGGTGACCTTATGCCTCCGGTAACTAGGTGGCCCGCAGTAGTATCCTCTGTTTTTTTGGGCTCAACGGATAGTGGCAGCAGTGAGATGCAGAAAAGAAGATGACTAAGGGTGTCACCTTGGAATACTCCTCTCCTTAAGATGACTGGCTCTGTTTGGACTCTCGCATAACCTGCTGTTACGGTAAAGCGGTTGTTCTATGGATCTCACTATAGAATTGGAAATCGAAAGACACTCGAGCAAGTACACGAGTAAAACATGTGACGTTGTTTCAAATATCTTTCGGTAATCGATGCAGGCTACAGCAAGATTCCGCTTGTACTGCACGTACCCTAGTACAATACACTTCCAAGTACGTATACAGATGAAAATATAATCAGCAAAATAATATCTACATTTCAAACAAACTTACGTGATTTGATTTCAACACTTTGTTCTAATTCTCAAATTTCTTCTTCGGTTTGAAAAAGGTTTCAATCAAAATTATATTCTTGTTAGGTGATAATTATATGATACGGTCCTGCTTTGTGGAAAAATTGACATACCAGAAATTTTCGACAGTACAGAAATGAGTTACCTACATAGTTGAATACTTAAGGTACTCAACGATAACTCATCGACAAACTTTCGACAATCGGCCATATTTTACCCATTTTCACTAGTGCCGCCGACGAACTGGTGGAAAAACGGATGTTCTTGTTGTCTTTATCATTGAACATGGCGGTGGTTCATCTTACTAGCGTAAATAATCAAGGGTACACCTCCATCGAAGAAAGAAGGAGAAAGAAAGTAGAAAATATCGTCAAAATCGGTCCACCGATAAAAAATCTATGAGGGCCCCCTTTTAAAATGGCCACTCTGTACATATTTACGTACCTTGTTTTTCATCTTGACAGCTTTGGAACACTGTGAAAGAGTCTGCGACATTTCACTCCTCCATAGATATATCCACGGGAGATGTTTTTTCATCTTTAAAGAGGAAATCTGCGGTTAGCCTAGTCTGGCAACACTGCTCAAAAAGACTACTACTAGCAATTCGCACAATTACGATATATGGGTTCTGAATGTAACCAAAGTGATTGTTTTCAGTTTTCAAGAGTGAATTGATGTGTTATTGTTGTAAAATATTGTTGAAAGCCAGTGAAGAGTGTAAGGATTATTCTAGTGATCGAGTTATAAGTGAAAGGGTGTTTGTGTGGTGTGTGAAATTTCTGCAAGTGAAGTGAGTTATCTCAACCAAGATATGCAAGATGTAGAACTGCGAAAAAACTGGATATCTTCGATACCTCGCGTAAAAAATTTTCCCCATCGCAACATTTCGCAGTTTGTGTAATTCATGTCGTTGAAACAGATATAATTAGATATGATACATTTTCTCTTCTGGATGGATCAATTGACTAAGAAAGTTATCTTATCTATCTTCCTGAACTGAATAAATCATTAGGAACAAATCCTAATGAAAGACGTCAGAAATGTTCAGCTGTTCAGAATAAAAATAATAGTTGATTTCGAATAATCCGACCCTATTCTCAATTACGGACAGGTGGTTGGAGAATATGCAGAAAAATTCAGAATCATTAATAATTGTTGGAATTAGAGAGTCAATAAGGCAGAAAGTGAAATTTATTTTTATTTATAAGGTTCATACAGTCAGATATATTGAAAATAACTGCCCAAGTTGTAGTATTTAATGAGATGCAGGTCCAAATTCCACTAGGTGATAATGAGTTGGGTTTCATTGTTTCGAAATGAATTATTTCCTATGATATTAAATTGAGTTGGTGGTCAGAAATTCAGAATATTCTATCAAGATACAGAATCAGACCAAAGAACATGAAATTAGCTCATTTTATGACTTAATGGAGAAAAAATTTATATGACTGAAGAAAGCCCACATAGTATCTTGTGAAACTTCCTTAACTCATTCTAAAAATCTTGAAATTTTGATTGATCAATTGAAACGAGTTCTCATTGAAACATAGATATTATTCTTATACAATAATTATGTCTTTCATGTTATACACCACATCTCATTCTGTGTTCGAACTCTTCAGAGTGATTTTTAATTCACGATACTTGCAACAACTAATTTCCAACTTGAATATGTCTCCAAGTGAAAACATAAATGGTTGATGTGAAATGAAATCTGCCAGTTGATTATTTTATCCAAGAAACTGAATGAAACCGGACCTGTGACCTGACCCATTATTTCTTGCTGTTTTGTCACACCAACACATAAAACCAGCAACTCTTCAAATTGTATCAAACTTCCCATTCCCACATTGGCTCTGACTAAGAACTTCTTAATTTATGAGAGCAAGAAAATGTTTAATTATCTGCCTATATACCTTTGGGAAATTGACAATGAACTTAAGTTCAGAAAACAAGTCAGAAAGTTTCTGATTGTGAAGGCTTATTATAGTTTGGCCGAATTTTATCAATATTCCTAACCATTTACTTATTTTTTATCTACATTCGAGTCTAGATTCATTATTCGATTTTATATCTAGACTTATATCATTTATACTTTATTTTATCTTTTTTTATTTTAGGTCATTTTATCTCTACATTTCTATTGTGATTTAATTTTGTTAGTCAGTCATTGACGCACTATTTTGTTATATGTTATTTTCTTTCTTGAACTATATTGTTTTTCTCGGCTTCTATTCTAATGTTTATGTATTTGTTATCCCAAATTTTTGATCATGTTTTCTTTTTAACCTATATAGGCTTTGTCAATGAGAATCACCTTTCTTTCGACAATGAAGCAAATTTTGGTTTGATTTGATTTAAAGTTCAATTATTTATTTCAAAGACAGGAACTGATGTTACCGTGGTAGTCTGTCGGGATCACGGCGCTGCGGTGTTGCATTTTTCTCACCGCGGCGACGTGGCTCTTCAGAAATCTCTACTATTATTCTATAAATAGCAATACCACTCAGACGAGCTCGACATGCCCAATCAGCACGTCCTTTCGTCGTCAACCTTGAAATATGTCGAACAACATTTTACCAAAACTGGCAAATCTTCGGATTTTTTTGTCAATGGAAGTATCCCCAAGAACTTATGCTCTCTAAAAAAATCCAATATCTACCTCCCCTGCCTATCCTCCACAAGCATGATGTTCTTCGAACATTATAAGGATTCCCTTTGGTGCGTAACAGATGGAAAGAAGTATAGAAGGAAAAGTATATTTTTTTTACCAACGTTACATACATGACTGACAACATAACACTCACAAATTGAACTTTTTCCAGTCATATTGTTCACAGATAAACTTATTGATTATTGAAAAAGTCACTTGGGTACTGCCAACATTTACTGAAAAGGCTACTAGCTATAGATTTCATGAAACTTACCTCCTGTATCTCAGGAACTATTCATTGTAGACAAAGAATGAATAAAGATTTTCTTGTAGGAAATTATGTTGTTCAATTTTGTATGCGAATATCATTCTGCTAGATGTCTCGATTTTCGAAATCTTCAAGATCAACTGGAAAAAAATTCCTTCGAATGCTCCCCTACCGCCTCGCTTATCCCCGACGGGTCCGGACTGTACGGAAATTTGCGACTAAACGAATTTTTCACCTATTCGACCTTTTTTAACGTTCGTTGAATGAACTATGGAATCTGGCTATGAGAATGGTGAGTTTAGGATAAATTAGAAAAACACCCTGTAACTTAGAGCAACATCTCTCTGACAACTCCTGTCACTCAGAAGTGTCCAAAACCAAAACAGAAGACATTATTGTCAAGAAGTATTTTCCATTTTCATATTAAAAACTGAAGTAGCTTTGTTTTCGAAACGTTCAAGAATGAGTGCATTTTGATATTTTTCAAATTAACATATTTTCAAACTTGGTGGCACTGACTATATATCGATTGAATTCCCCTCCCAGATTTCCGATTTCCGTTTAGTTCAATATATTATTGAACCGAAATAGCGGTGAATATTATTCTATAGTTTTTTTCTCATTTTCATTCACATTATCTCATTGGTCCCAACGATGAAACTATGGCCTCATTACTTGAAACTTGTGCGGGGTTTGGGAAGCATACATGAAAAAACATTCAAGGCGTAACTGGGGCTCGAATCCATGTCTTGGTGGAGAGTTTCATTATGATTGCGATCACGACCACCGGACCGAATAGATAGATGGATTGATAAATAAATAGATATACGACAATCAAATATAATAAAGTGAAATCAGGAATTGGAGGCTTAAAAACCTGATTTCGTGTATTCAATATAAAAATGACGATAAATATAATGTTATGTCTCAATCCTCACAACTCGTTTTCTGAGATATTTGCCAGTCGATCAACTCGCTTCTGGAAAGAGTACGAATTTGTTTGTTCGGTGACTTCGGATATCAAATCTTTTGTGAATAGATATGCAAAAAATTCACTCGGAATTTCCAAATCAAATACTCCTATATAGGCATATGCTGCTCTCCGAAAAATGTGATGTCATTCGGGTCTTTTCTGAGATTTCCAGTTCTCCAAGCACCAGGATTCAATAACTTTTCTGCTAGTTCAGCCAGGGGAATGTCTTCGTCAACATCTGTATAGGGTACGATTATATCATCATTATCATCAGACTCAACTTCTTGTTCAGTTTCTTCGTCGCTTTCGAGTATCAGAACACGTCCTAACACATTATCTTCGTCATCGGAGAGTTCAGGATCATCACTTCCATTATCACTTGGTATGTCATGGATGTATTCCTTGGTTCCGTAAAATAACTTCCAATAAAATCCATCTGCAAAAAAACTTTATTTTCTTGTATTTCTTCAGATGCATGGTGTGTATATTTGACTCAAACAGACTTATGCGTAATTTGACTAAAAAAAAGGAATAAAGTACGTGCAACTATTCCGTTCCACTCAACAAAATTGATTTTGATATGTGAAAATACTAGATGAACATACGGAACCACACAAACCAGTCGAAATAAACACGTGAGATGTATACCGGTTGAAACTACGTGATCAATTATGCGATCGTGAGGTTATCGCTTTTCTTATGTTTATTGCTTGGTCCCAGATATGGTACACCATACAGTTTTAGTTTCACTTAATTTCGTGGTTGAAAAAAATTCGAAACGTATCATATATGAGTCACTATGCGGTAAAGGGTTAATCATGTTACTGAGTAGTTGTCCATTTTTTCTTTATTTTCCAATATACTAATGTACAAATATTTCTGACGCCTAAATTCTCTTCCAAGCACTTTACAGCGGGCGTTAAAATAATCCGGTGGACTGTAAAGTAGATGAACGGGTGGTGAAGTAATGTCACTGTTTTTTAAGTTTCTAGTGGACTACCAGTTGATTTTTCTTCGCGAGTGGCATCCATAATTTGGAGGAACGAATTAAAAAGTATTATTATGAATTCCATATATTGACAGTGAATAAATGTCTGAAACGGTTGTACATAAAATATATGTATTCTGGGCATTGCTTATTCTTATGCGGACCTAGATATTAGAATAATTGCTCTTGCTATAGCTCGGGCTATTGCCTACAGGCTGTGGTTCATAAAAGCCTACGCCCTTGATATTCATAATCGATTTTGTTCTCAAATAAGAACCAATTAAGCTATAGCCGTTGGATAATCAATGCTCCTTATATAGGATTGAGCTTTTTTCTTATGGTATTTTCATATAGGGTTATGATCAAGGGAATAATTTGATGTCCATAATGATCGTGTCTGATATATCTATTACAGATGTCATATTCTATGCAAATACAAACACTGGAAGATCAAGGTTGCTTGTCAACAATTTTGCCTATCATTTCCATCGAAAAATCAAATCGAAAACTAGATGGCGCTGTGGTATGGAGAGACATAAGTGCAAAGCGTATGTTAACACATTTGATGATAGCCCCAGAGTTCTGGTATATGGTGAGCACAATCATGGTTATACGGCTAGAGGAAATGGAGACATTGGTGATCCAAGGATTGTTACTTTAGTTCACGTGAAAAACAATTCTGTATAATATATTCATTCAATTTGAGAACTGTTATAGTAATAAATTGATCATTTTCGATGACTTCTCATTTATATTGCATATAGGGCTTCCGAATGATGAATCATCATCAGTGCATACTTTTCAGCGATAACAGAGAAAGAATTGTATTGTCGCATGTGTAAAAAGTGTATCTTTATATAGCACAAATGCACAGAGTACACGAGGTGAGGAAAGGAGAATTTTTGCACCAGAGTACTTGTATGGTAACTCGTGCAATTTGCATGAAACATCCCAAGCGGAGATGCATCGAGAGAAATATCTATCCAGCTGTTTTTTTCATACGAAATTGTATAACTTTTGTTCCCTTTTCACTTAACTTACTCCGTTTTTGAGATACAAGATGTTGAAGTTGGAAGTATTAATTGTTTCCATTTCAAACCCCCGTATAAGCTTTCATGCCAATATCAGTATGACACTGAGAGTGTCAAACTATAAGAACAAAATTTTCGAAGAAAAATATTTTGCATTTTTATGTTGCAGATTCATTCCTGAAACGTCCAAAGATGAGTAAAAAATCTATATTTTTTCAATATATCTATATTTCTGTCACTGACACCCTATTGCATCCTTCTTCAATGCTCCCTGATTTCTTGAACGCAGTGACATTTCGGAGCAAATCATCTGATTTGTCCTACTACACATACAGTGTCATTCATAAAGTCGGCATCATATGGGAAAAACTTTTATTGATGACTTATTCTGGAATTCGAGTTGGACGTTAAGTTTTGCTTCAAAAAAAAAAAGAGAAATGGTCCACTCAATCGGGGTCACGTGACTTTCGCTACATGTCAAAAGTGACATTTTTTCAAATTAATCGCTGAAAGTAGGCTAATTTGTTCGAATATCGAAAGAGTTTATTTGAAAATGTTGTTCCTGTTTCAATTTTACACATGCTTCTCGAATTTGATCGTTCTATTGCAACTTTTAGATTTTGTTTTTTTTTTAATTTTTCGAAATTTCCGTAATATTTGAAGAATTGTTAATTCCACCGAACTACTTCATACCAGTAGTTTTTCATGCGACTCACTTTCAATTACTTATTATCACTGATTATGGACAGAAATATGATTTTCTTCAGAAAAGGATAATACCCGCTTCCAAATTCTGTTATGTTTGATGCAAAGTTGATAAATCGTCAAGCATTTAGAAACGAAATTCATTCAAACTGATCTTTTCAGTACTGAAAAAATAAATTTGAATGCATTTCGTTCCTGAATGCTTGACTCAAACATAACAGAATTTTGATGTTATGTTTGCATCAAACATAACATAATTTTGAAGCGGAGAAAATTATATTTTTGTCGAGAATTAGTGATAATTAGTAATTGAAGGTTAGTAACATGATGAAGCTACTGGTATGAAGTAGTTTTATCGAATTTACAATTTTTTTAATATTACAGAAATTTCGAAATTTTTTAAAAAATATCGAAATCTAAAAAATGTAATAGAAAGATAAAATCCGAGTCACATATATAAAATTCAAATAGAAACAACTTTTTCACTGGAACTTTTTCGATATTCGAACAAATAAGCTTACTTTCAGCGATTAATTTGAAAAAATTTCACTTTTGACATGTAGCGAAAGTCACGTGACCCCGATTGAGTAGGCCATTTCTCATCTTTCTTGAAGCAAAACTTGACGTCCAACTCGAATTTCAAAATAAGTCATCAATAAAAGTTTTTCCCATATGATGCCGACTTTATGAATGACACAACGTACTCGACAAGCCCAGTCAACACACCATTTTTGTAAAGTTTAAGTTCAGTGTTGTGAACATTCGGTATTGATTCTAGGATGGATGTCAGTTTTGACAGGAATTGATTAAAACTCATTTGTGTGAACAAGCTAATCTTGTTTCATTTGATCTTTTACATGGTGTCAGGTGTAAAAGAATAAGAAATATAGAATTATAAATGGAAGGAGTCTTCAAACCACCCAAGGAGCTCAGCTTCGAAGGAAATGTGGCACAAAACTGGCAGCTTTGGAAGCAACGGTTCAACATCTTTCTTAGAGCTAGTGGAAAGGATGATGCTGAGGTTCCCCAAAAAATTCAGGTGGCGTACTTTCTGAATTTGGTTGGAGAAGAAGGACTCAATGTTTTCAACAGTTTGAAATTAGATGCAGAAAAGGTAACTTTGGAAGATGTTATGAGTAAATTTGAAGGATACTGCAAGCCACGATCAAATACTGTCTATGAAAGACAGGAACATAAAACAGAAAGGTGGACAATCCTTTGATAGCTATCTCACAGAATTGAAAAATTCAGCAGTTAAGTGCTCTTATGAAGAGCAGGAAGAAAGTATGATAAGAGATCAAATAATTTTTGGGATAACGGATGTTCATGTGAAAGAACATTTGTTACGTGATGGAAACATTACACTGCAGAAAACTGCTGAATATTGCAGATCTGTGGAGGCCAGTAAACTACAAATGAATACGATTGAAAATGAGTGCAAGTTAGATGAAGTTAAGAAAACAAAAATGCCAACCAGAAGTAATGATCCACAAATAAACGACTGTAAGTATTGTGGATATTCACATCGCATTAGGAAATGTCCAGCGTTCAATAAAGAATGCAGTATTTGTAAAGATAAGGGTCACTTTGCAAAGAAATGTACAAAAGGAAGAAAAATCAATGAAGTCAAAGAAGATGGAGAACCACCGAATGAAGAAAGCGAAATTGAATATGAGGATGATCCAAATGATCATAATTCATTATTGTTTATAGGTGAAGTGAAAAATATCAATATCAGCAGTAATGATACTGCATGGTTTGAAGATATTTTTTTGAACGGTAGCAAAATTAGATTTAAGCTTGATAGTGGTGCTGAAGTGAGTTGTTTACCTGTGCAATGTTTCACTAAAATTCAGGACAAACCCCAAATCAAACATTCAGAAATATCACTGGTTGGTTTCGGTAACAAAAATAAAATAAAATGCATGGGGTCTGTTGAGCTGAATTGCCAGAGTAGACAAAACACTGCACTTATTTCTTTTATCTTGGTTGATGTATTATCAGATCCCATTTTAGGATTGACTGACTGTTTGAAACTCAATTTAATCAAACGCATATATGAATTAGAAAAACTACCAGAAAATAAGGACGAATTTTGTAAAAAGTATTCTGATGTCTTTGGAGGTCTAGGTGAATTTCCAGGTTTATATCATATTCATGTGAATCCAGAAGCAATCCCAGTTATAAATCCCCCACGAAGATTGGCTCAATCCTTAGTAGATAAACTCAAAGCAGTTTTGAAGAATTTGGAGAAAACAAATGTCATTTCGCGAGTAGATAAACCAACTAAATGGGTTCATAATTTGGTCATAACTGAAAAACCAAATGGTAAATTAAGATTATGTTTGGATCCTAAAGACCTAAACTTGGCTGTTAAACGCGAAATTTACTTGATACCAAAGCCTGAAGACATTATAGCTAACTTATCTGGTATGACTTATTTTTCAGTTTTCGATATGAAGGACGGATTTTGGCATCTAAAATTAACTGAAGAAAGTGCTGATCTGTGCACCTTCAATACTCCCTTTGGACGTTATCGCTTTAATAGGCTACCTTTCGGTATATCATGTGCACCAGAAGTCTTTCAGAAGAAAAATGCTGAAATCTTTGGTGATCTACCAGGAGTACATATATATTTTGATGATATAATAGTTGGCGGTATCAATGAAACTGATCATGACAAGAATTTACATAATTTTTTATCTCGCGCTA